TAGTTTAAGTATATCTCAACTAGGTTGACTCTCTCCCTCTTTTTTTTCAAATTTAAAAAAAAAAAAAAATTTCAGTGTCAGCAAGTTAACCGCGGCCCGTGAATGTGCAACCCGCGAAACCCGCGGGTCACACCTCCTTGACCCGTGAATCGCCCGCGGTCCCGGGTCGATTCGGGACGATTTTCACGGGTCTGGTCGGCCCGTCCGTCTGACACCTCTAGCCGTCGCACCACCACAACCATCCACCAACAATAACATAAACAACAACTACCACCCAAACCACCACAAATCAGGCCAAACCACCAACAACAGATCCGTCAACACACAGCCACACACCAACAGCTACACACACATATCCGCCACCAACAACAGCCACTCACACAGATCCATCGCCTCTCCGATTTCCTCAACTTCGATCTGCTACACCCACGGCAGCGTTGGACGCTGTAAACGGCGGCATAGTCGCCACGCTGAACTGCAACAGCGTCGCGATGCTGCTGCCGTTCAAAACAGCGTTGTCGCGACGCTGCAGAAAGAGACGAGGGAGAGAAGGGGAAGGATGGATAAGAGAGGAGGAGGAAAGTTAGGGGAATGATGGATAAGAGAGGAGGCGGAAAGTTAGGGGAAGGAGGGAGGCGCCGCCGTGAGAAAAAGAATGGGGAAGAGGAGGGAGGCACGAGAGAGAGGGGAAAGGAGTAGAGAAATAAATTTGGTTATCAATTAAGGTTTTAATATAGTACCTGATTTTTTAATAAATAAACTTTAGACCTGAATTTTAAAAACCAATCTTTAAACACCTGGTTTTATGTAATTACCAGTTTACCACTTTTCTAAGCCCTTGGCTGGCCCTAATTAAAAAATTTCTTTCTTAATTTTAATCCTACGATCTCAAAAATATATATATATTACACACAATCTAAAACTTTACATTATTTTTTAATCACACAATCTCTCATCAATCACTATTCCAAAATTTATAAATTCTCCAAAATGAGAGCCAAACAATGACTAAATTATTACTCATTACTGATTAGTCTCAAGTTTTTTTTTCAAAAATTCATTTTTTCAAAATTTATTTTCGACCACACATTCGTCAATAAAATAATTTTACACGTAAATTAAAAAAAAATTCTTCTTTTTTAACTACACATTATCTCAAAATCACTATTCTAAAATGCATTTTTTTCCTCCAAAATGAAGCTCAAACAAGAGCTTAATATTCTCATGTCCAACAACATCTTGCACCAATCGATTAAGAATAAGATATTCCAAATAATTTTTTTTCACGAGTTGAACTAGTACTTAGAAATTGAAATTAAGATATGGAATTTTCCATATTAGAAATGAACTTAGACAAGAATAACAAATAGATTAACCAATAAAATCAGTTAATATTTGCCTGATTACAATTTATAATTCTATTATTACATAAAAAGAGCACTTCAAGCTACAATACAAATGTAGAGTTACAACTCTGTGTGATTGAGTTTGCCAAAGAATTGAAGCATAACTAATTGACTTCAATAAATAATCATAATGGTTACAAATAAACCTCCGGAGAAGTAGCATCAGCAATCTTAGGGATTTCATCAGGAAGGGTGAATAAAGGTTCATCTCCTGATAATCCTTTCAATGCCAAAGCCAATGTGTACCCTAATGCTCGAGCTACCGGTACAGCAACTGCATTCCCAACTTGAATATATCTGACAAATGATTCAAAAAGGAAAAGAATAAGAGCCTGTTTGACAACCATTTTGGTAAAAAAAGAAGATTTTTAAATAGTAATTTTTAGGAGAATGTGATTATAAAGTAGGAAAAGTTTTTGGTGTGCGTATAGAATATTTTATTATGTAAATGTGTGATTGAAAATGGTCCTATAACAAATCATAAAATAAATTAAAGAATGTTAAACAGACACTAATGGTGCGTTTGATTGCATTTATTTTCCATGGAAAATATTTTCCAACTTTTAAAAATATGCTTAATTTTCCTTGTTTTTAAGGAAAACGTTTTTTTTTTAGGAGGGAGTAGGCTTTTGTTTTCCTCAAAACAAGGAAAATATTTTCTTTCCTAGGATATATTTTCCATGTCAATCAAACACACACTAAGTAATGTACAAATGGTTGGAGAAAATTTCAAAATGGAGATAAATTGTTACTGATAAAAAATTACTAGGTTGATACCTTTCTTTTATAGGGCCAAGAAGTTTATAATAATCTGGAAAACCTTGTAAACGAGCATTTTCACGGATTGTAAGAACTCTATCTTGAACAGGATGCACAATCGTCTAAAGCACAAAAGTTTATGTTATGAAGTTATACAATGGAAAACAAGCAAATCGGTATATTTTAATCTATACGTTTAAATGACAAGGAGGGAGTTACCTGGTTATGAGGTTCAGCCCTAGTAACCACAGTTGGAACAGTCTCATCCCACCACAACCGCCCAAATGGCCTGTAAGAATTGAAAACATGAGATTCTTTTTCCATATAATAAGCACTTACATTATGCAAATGAAAGAAAGAGGTTGTCGTACTTGGATGATGTTCCACGCACAAAAGTCATTGCATAATCAGGAACCTAACAGTTTTAAATATGCATTATATATAGCAGTCAAGAGGATGGAAATATAGTAGAAAAAATTTCAGAGGGAACATACCAAAGGCTTCCCAGAAGGCAGCTTTACTCTTTCTACATCAGGATCAAATTCAACTTTGTTATCAGCACGAACTCTAACGCCTGGCAGATCCCTAAAGTTTGCACCCTGAAACCATGAAGGTAAATATTTTGGAATCCGAAGGGCAGAATAAATAATTGCTGTATGCTGTTTAGAATACAAGAATTCGGGTTCTACAAGATAAATTACCTTTCTCTTAGGAATCTGACACACGCGTTGGTAATCATCCTGGTTTAATAGATAGGGCCGATGATCATACAAGTTATGCTCAGACACCTTAGAGTTAAACACCAAGCAGCCGGACATCTCTACATTGCAAAGAAATTTTTTTAACTTGAGGCAGTAAGAGTTGTCCTGCTTTCATTAATGTGTAAACATTCAAAAACAAGGATCTGTACAAACATTACAGATCATTAGGCAAAATAAAAATCAGGCTGTCTAAAATGATTCACTTAATCCATTAATTCAACATAGCCTTTTTAATGAAAAATATAATATAAGTCAGCTGGGTGAATGAAAACTTAACCAGTGAGTTTAAAGGAAATGTTTAAAAAAGGGATTTTCACCGTACGGCTGGTGCAATACTAAACTAGACTGGAATTTGTATCCTTTCTAACTTTCTAATATCTCAAATGTGTCCTCAATGTAACAATGTATCTACCAACATATGGGCAACGTGTCCAACCATACAAAACTAAGAACTAATTTGGACATGGCATCCTATGTTTCCAACACTTGTCAGAGATGTGTCAGTGTTGGACACCGACTCACGGACCGGAGAGAGTGTAGGTGCATCCTAGCAATGCAGAAAAGAAAAGGGCAAGAAATTTACGATCAACAAAAACATATGTATTTTCATTCATTGTGTCTCACAATATTCAAATTAATATTTTTCACTTTACCATAACAATCCATTGTTTTACATTAAATAACTAACTACAATATTATGCAACAATGGGGTCTACATGAAAGTAAGAGTGCAAGTCCACATCTATTTTGAGTTTTAGCTTAACACCATCTCTCGTTAATCATTGAATGGGGACATGAGTAGTGTTAGCTGTCAGCAATCAAATGAAAACACATCTCAAGTGAAATTTGACCCCAAAACCAAGCAATGCTCAAGGCCACTGACTACATAATACAATTATTACTCCCTCAGTCCACTGCTAAATGACCTTATTTCCATTATAGGATGTCCATAAATGACACTCTTGTAAAAAAAGCCATTCTCTTCAAAAACACTTGCAATTTAGAAACTCTTTCTGACCATTACTCATTAGTTTTCAAGGAAAACGACGAGCTGTATCCAGTAGCCACCATTTCATTTCTCATCCTAAAATCATGTCAATTCAAACATATACAGTCAATTGTGGAGCAGTGGAGTACTATGAACTTCAGGTGCATAATATATTTAGGGTGTATTTGATGAATATTATTGAAGAAAGAATGTATTTTAAATAGTGATATGTGGTTTAAAAATAAGGAAAAATTATTGATATGATGAAAAATATTATTTTATTAGAGAATGTGTAGTTGAAAATGAGTTATGAAATAATGTATTTTCAAAGAATGTGTGTCAAACGGAGCTTTAGTCAATCACAGCATATCAGACAATCAAAAGCAGTAAATCCATGGCATTCCAATTAAGAAATCCCCCTCGTAAAGCAAGAGGAAAGTTAAGTATGACTTTTCTCTGCCCTCCCTCACATTTATTTCCCCTAGTCTCATGTGGAAGCATTGCCATGAACCTCAATCAGATGCAGTTATGGTAATAAATTATTATGCAATTAAGCTCCTGGATAATGGATCAGAAAAGATTAACTGTAGCCATCAGCATTTCAGTGATTCTAACCTAGAGAACACTGCACTGCTGATGCCATATCGACCCAGCTAGAGAAACCATGGTGATTGAATGGCACTCAGGCTATTAAGAATGACATTTAACTAATTTTGAATTAACATTGCTCACCGTCCCGCCGTAATCTTATAAATCTCTGAAATTCGGTTTCTGGCTCAGAACCATAAGATATTTCGTCTCGTGCTTCGTCATTCTCAACCTGAAAGATTTATGTTGATATGATTAAAACTGATATTGCTAAAGAATTACTTTGTATAAAAAAGAGAAAAACGTGAATTCCACATACAGGTGGAAGGTCAGATATCGCATCACCAAGAAAAAGTTCCCTTTTGAGGTCAATTTTAGAGCCTTCACTGTATGCAACTGTGTTTGACTGCATTCATCAGTAAATATTCGTAGTTAAAACCAACAGTCAATGCTAGAACTTCAAAAGAAAAATAATTTTAACAAGCACTACCTCAAACTCTGTTGGAATAACCCCCCGGACAACAACATTATGTGTAGGCAATGGGTACTGGGGCAATTTCTGTCGAGAACAGAACAGAACAAGGAAAACTCAGAAACTTGATTCAAAATGATGGCTCTGCAAGTAAGAAAAAGAAACTAAAAGGACAATACTACCTCAGTCGAAAGGGCACCCCACATGAAGACACGCATTCGGAATTGTGGGAGTCCATAAGCACCAGCTGCCATCATTCCCATCCTTGCTTGATAACCCATTCCAACAAGGCGACCAATAGCATATCTCCCAAGGAAACCACCCGCAAATTTTACAATGTCAACAACATTTTCCATCAACACAAATTTTGGCTTGAGAAAGGCCACAGTGTCCATGAAAACAATTAGTTGCTTATTTTTGTCATCTTCTAAAGGATTTTCCTTGTTTCTGAAACGGTTGAACCCACTTATGCCTTGGCATGGTGGACCACCACATATAACATCGACAGTCCCCTGAATGGAATCAGCATAAAATACTCATAAAAGAGCAATAAAAATTCAAAAGTAGCTCGAACCAGCAGAAGCTTACTGGCAAAGGCAAAATCTTTGACTTGTAGCCTCTGGAGACAAATTCCTTCAATTTTTCTTCACAAGCACTAGTAAGCAGGCATTCACCGTAAGCCAATCAAATTGAATAATAAATGATCTAAGTGCCAACGCAATTGTTTTTAGTCTTTACCTCAAACCTTCTAAAGGCTCATACGTGTCTTCCTCAGGCCCATAACCTTTCCAACGAATCTAATAGAAATGGAAAGAAAAAATAGCAATTAATAACAAATAATGAAGGTTTTGCCAACAATTCTTAGGAGCTATCAGTACAAGAGAGGATAGAATGACAGAATTAGTAAAACTAACAGAGTGATTAAGCAAGAGTCCAAAGAAAAGGCAACTATTCAACAAAGACTATAGATTTATATTATGCATGAGGGTGCAGATCCGCTTAACACGCTTTCTCAATGAATAAAGAGTCAAGACTCTTTGCTTTTGTTTTTCGTTATAAGCATGTGTATTCGCATAGCAACTCAAACAACAAAGCCAAGACAAGTTCGATACCTTAAAATACAGTGCAGATTTTCCAGTTTTATTTGGATCACCGTAACAAATTGACAATATCTCTGCAACTTCAAAGATTTCAGATCCACTTTCATCCCCGCTGTCATCACTTTGATCATTTTCCATGCTTTCGGAATCCCTATGTTCATGTACTGGACCACTAGTTTCTGTTGATAAATGGGAGGCACAAAGCTTCTCCCATTCCCTCAACAGGTTTAAGAAATCCTCAGCAGAATCATTTCGGACCTAAAGTGCCAAGTTAAGCATGCAGAAATCAAAGTGAAAGAACAAAGATAAGAAAAGAAGGTACCAACTCAAAACATCATTTCTAACAATTTCTACCTGTGTCTCTGGATGATTTAATTTGAGGCTTTCACATGCAAACTCGTTAAGATCAACAGCCCATTTCTGCATCCATAAAATGCATATTTTGTTAGAGCATTATGCCATGAGTTCCAGATATTATCAAAATTAACTACAAAAATAAAGACTCTAGATTAGCTAAGATGTAAAACTCACAGTAACAAGCTTAACACCACAGCTGTTTGCCCCAAGACAAAGCCCAGTAGACATTGCACCACATCCAGAGTACAAGTCCAAAAGTGTTTTCTCACTACCCTGCTCTATTACTCCAGAACTTTCGCCAGAACTTGATACTACGGCAACATCAGCATCACTCGAGTACCATCTTGTTCTAAGTGACGATCTTGCAGTATTATCTAGGGAATAAGAAATTAGTACAAAATTAATAAAGATATAATCCAAACCTCCAAGTCCAAATCATAAAAGCCAAAATTAGGGGAATAACTTGCTCAATAACTGAAAGGAAAATTTTACCTGATTGTAATGTTACAAAAGAAGTATATGGAAGCAAGTACATTTGATCATAGTAATAGTCACACTTTGATCTCATTTCTTCCTTTACACCTGATCCAGCCTGAAATCCAATAGGTGGTGTTAGATCCCAATAGAACGAAAGAATTGTTTAATGAAATAATAAAGAAAACTTGACTTACTTTTATTGGTATATTTACTATTTTGAGTTTCCTAACAAGACAATCCAGAGGGTTGTCATCCTTGATTTCTGAAAAGAATACTCGCTTGTCATCTATAAAGCTATCACAACATTTGATGACCTGACAAACAGAACAAAAAGCTAAACGTCAGATCTGCATTATGCCAAACGATTCATTGCAAAACATGGATATAACTTTTCATAAGGTCTTACTGTATCATTGGCCCGATAATACCATTGTGCAGTAAAATTATTTGAGCCATCCACTGCCTCAAACATTTCTTTGATCTTACAGATGAAATTGTCTTTCCCTTCGTCAGCCTAAATCATTGTGTTAGATGCATGCAATAGGTTTCATTATGCATGTAATTCTCAAAAGTAACATAATATATCATACGACGTTCATGTACTTATATTTATATTGATGCACTGTCATAGTCTTTGTTCAAGATAGGCTGACATGCAAAAATAAATAAAAAAATGCAATCAATCGAAACCAGAATATAGAAGCCAAAGTAACTTATTGTTTGGGAACTGAAATGTGTTCGGCAATACTTTCAGTTTGCCGAAGGAAAGCATATTAGTTAAATTTTTTTTTACTGTGAATAGCTTAAAAAACAAATTATCAAGATCAATGTCAACTGAAAGCAAAGGTTTGATATTCAATTGTTGAAATCAACTAAAAAAAGAATACAAGGGTTGAAAATCATAATGAACTTCAATTAAATTGGTAAATATTCTCTCTTTGAGTCTGACCATGGATTTGGAAATTGTTCCTCAAATGTCGCGGCTAGGTATCATAAAGGGAAACCCAAACAGTTCCTTAAAGAAGACTTCCACTACACTTGCCCTGATTATGTAGCGAACAAATTACGGCAAAGTGCAGCGGGATGCAAGAAAAAGTACGTCAAACGGCGCACAAGTATTCATGAATTAGAAAGAAAAGCTTAGCTGAAAAAATGTGTGCCCAGACATGCACACGAGAAAATCTAAGAGCATGTTCAGTTTATCGTTTTCAAACCGTTTTCTATTTTTTATTTTCCAAAACAGTTCTCTTTTCTATTTTCGAAAACGCGTTTTTGAAAGCAAATTAAAAATTTACAAAAAAAGCTCAAAACGACAAATTTGTCGCTTTGGATGTTTTCAATTATAATCAAATCAAAATTTTCGGTGTTTTCGCCGCCAACCACCAGAGAGAGCCGGTTTTTCATTTTTTTTAAATTTTTGAAAACAATTTTTCAAAATATAAAAAAGAACACATTTTGACACACAAAACATAAAATGAATTCAAAACTCAAGACTGAAAGAACAGCCCCTAAATTAAACACAGAAATAGTCCATGGAAGACCAAGATAAGGATTCACCTTCACATAAGCCTCATCTTCCAGATTGAATAGTTGTCCGTCAACTTCTGCTTGGGTAAAGTGGCGTCTAGCTCGAATGACTTCCTGTATCGTCCAGAACAATAAATAATAATTTATAAGTTCACACGTTTCTAAGTGTAGAATTGCAGTTAAACACGAAGTATACCTATTTCACCACATTGTGAACATATATAATAACACGCAGGGAATGTTTCGGTTTTGATAAAAGTTTTAGGTACAGTTGGCTAGTCAAGAGTGAATACGCCGCTAATGCTGTGGCGCTGTTAAATTATAGAGAACCATCATTATTTAAAATCTCTATTTTCTAGATATTCATTTTCATTCACACGATAGAATATTTCGTCCATAAATTCAAAATTTTTCCTTACTTTTAACCACGTATTCTCTTAAAAATCACTATTCAAAATATTATTTTGGCGAAATAATAGCCATCAAATAGGGGCTTAATAGATTTTGATAAAAAAAAGTTTTAATTATGGTTAAAAAAAATGTTAAAAGTTGTGGATTTCATGAATTTATATTTAAAATTGAAGTTTGATCAATTGAAAATTGATAAAAACACAATGTTTTATCAAACACAGTGTACACATATTTAGGCAGTGGATGCACTAGATAGAAAACTCGTCAAATCTCAAAATTGAACTCAAATAGGTTCAAGTCTGCATGGATCCAATAATTGAAAATTGAACTGAAATAGTTGGCTAGATATGGTTGAGTTTAGATTACGAAAACGGAACAATTTAAGTACTTGAAAAATTAAACTAGTTCTAGAAGAATAAAGATATCATGAGTCGAGTATTGAAAAAATATATTCGAAATTTTTATGACTTTCTAAGATAGAACAATAAAAATTAGCCCCTATTTGGGCTACATTTTAATGTGTTTTTGGATAAAATATATTTTGGAATAATGATATTTTTTAACAATGTGTGGTTAAAAAAGAAAGAGAAGCATTGGATTCATGTGTAATATTATTTTATTGGAAAACGTGTGATCGGAAAGAGGAGAGAAAAAAAATGTATTAAAATTAAAATGGAACTCGGACAAAAGCTTAGTGTTCTCCTCATGAGTGAGGTCCAACAATTCCATTCAAGAAATATGTAAAACTAATAAAATTGGACGATTTAGCTAAACAGCCAAATAGTTAAATGAAATCAGTGGCAATTAGTATGCAAAAAATATAATCAGCTCCGGTTTGGTACACATTAAAATTTTCATTCTCATTCTTCTACTCGTTTTCAACCACACATTTTTCAATAAAATAATATTTTTCATCACATTTATAACTTTTCTTTATTTTTACTTAAATTTTGCTAAGCCCCTATATGGTACACATTAAAATTTTCATTCTCATTCTTCTACTCATTTTCAACCACACATTTTTCAATAAAATAATACTTTCCATCACATCAATAACTTTTCTTTCTTTTTCAACTACAAATTTCACATCAATCTACTATTCCAGAATACATTCTTCCAAAATAATGTGGCTCAAAAACACCCTCAATTCTTGTTTATTGCAACATTTCTTGACCCAAGTTGCAATTATAGTTTTAAGAAGATTACAATTATGGTTGAACTTTATAATATATGATTTTATTGCTTTAGCTTGTACTTAGATCTATATATTAGACCAACAAATTTTTGCTTTAATATTAATATATTCAAAATTTATTGCTGCTATGTTGCCATTTAAACCGTGATTCGAAATCCGAACCACTAAAAATTGTTTGATTTGGAAAATTTTCAAAACGTTTTAATCATTTTAGTTTAAAAACTCATTTTAATTGAACAGAATTTGCACCAATTAAAAAGTAAAATATGGTAATATTCAAACACTAAACGGCTAAACCTAATAAATTATATTCATAGTTCACTGCTCTAAATATATAGACTGTACATGAGAATGGCAAGTATTTCATACCTAAACAACCGCGTGAAGTAAATTGAAGTCCACAAAAAAAGAACACTTTTTTGCCGACAAAAGGAATGGATTGGCATCCAATTCACACAATATACTTTTTCTCAAATAAAAATTTCAAGAGAACAAAATTCCGCCATATAGTATACAAATCTACACATTATACAACATATTCAGATTAACAGTGTGTGCAAATTAACATAATGACAATGTGTTTGTCAGTGTGGAAAGGATGAATACCGATGAAGCCTTGTATCGATGGGGCCAACGCTGTTGAGCTTCTCCATCGGCAACCGGCTCTCCGATAAATCGGCAAGCACTTTCCTCTACCTCAATCCGACCTGTCTCCTTCACATCAAGCAATTCTGATGTATTCACAATGTTCCCATTGTCCAACACTTCCTCTGCTCCCTCTTCTCCCGCAATAACTCCATCAGATCCGGTCACAGAATCCAAATCCAAAGCTACATCATTCTCTGGCCTGTCGGAGGCTTGTCCTCTGGATCTCTTGCTCTCCTCCACGGCCGCCGCATCTTCCTTTGCTGAGGGCAATTTCCTTTTACTCGGCATTGCAGTATATGTATGTGTATAGACTATAGAGAGAGACTGGTAGAGAGAAAGGGAGGGAGAGATAAGGGTGCTGGGAAGATGGAGTTCGCTTGTGTGGGGTTTTAAGGGCACTGAAATTCAAAAGTTTTGAAAAGTGGAGGGAGGAAGCGGTATAGCGGAATTGTTGGGCCTAAGTGAAGTGGATTTAATAGAGGGGCTTGGATTCCGCAGAAGGACACAAGGGTTGTTTGGTTGCAGGTTTACAATAAAGTGAGTGCATTTGTTTACTTCATGAATAATCTAGGGTGTGTTCGGTAGAGCTTAAAATCAGATTAAAATTAAAAAATTAGTCATTATTGTCAATTTTTATTAGACGAGTAAGATTCAATAACGACTATATTTTCAATTTTAATTAAATTTTAAGTACGATCGAACACGCTCCTAATGAGTACCAATACTCATCTTATGTTAATGACCGATAATATGTTATATAAATTCATTGATGAATTTTAAATTTAATTCAAATGTTGATATCCACCATAAGTTTATCCACCCATTAATTTATGGGATAATTGCAGCAAAGGTCTCAAACCTTTCAAATTTTTG